ACCTCATAGATTTGCAAAGTTGCCATAAAGTATCACTTTACAAGAATGGATAACATGCTTTTTCTAGTTTAGGCTTAATTTTGTGTGTATTATCCAAATGAGCAAAATAATGTTAGAACACAAAGGATATGCATTGAATTATTGAGTGAGAATGGGATTAGAGGCCTGCAATGTAGCTTAAGCATGCTGAATTCAAATTTGCCAAGTTTATGAACATGCTTTGATGAAGAACAAAAGTGAATTTTTGCCAACTTGTGAAATTCGAATCTCTCAAGTTATGAGGTTGTTTGATGAGTTCTTGGACATTTTGGAAAGCTTGTAATGTGTACTACAATCCATCTTTGAAATGCAATTTTAAATTCCAAGTGGAAGGGTATGAAAAGTGGCCTTGAAGTAGGGTAGAAAACCTTGTCAAAATAGGTCAAATTTCACTAAGTTAAAAGATGGTTTAGTGCCCTTATTCAAAAAATCATAACTTGAGATACAAGCTTCAAATGAGAAAACTTTGTGAATCAAAGTTGTAGATTTTGCAACAAGCTACAACTTTCATGTTTTGACTTTTGTTTGAATCCAAATGGATCATGGTGAAAAGATGGGGCAAAGTTGGGAAAAAATTAGGGTTTTCCATAACTTAGAAAAATTCTAAGTTATGAAAAATTCCATTTTCAAACCCTAATTTGCATTTTGACATTTCTTGGTGAACAAGTTTCATAATTTGGCATGTTTTGATGAAAAATGAATCTTGACTCTTGATTTTGACCAAAAAGTCAAAGTTTGACTTTTCAGTATACAGTCAAAATTGATCAATTGACTGGGAAATTCAACTGTCAATCTTGTGTACTTGGGATCTTTTGAGCTTGATGAACATGTCAAGATAATTCCATGGGGTCCTTGAGTCCATATGTGAGCTTGGTTTGCCATTGGCTAGGTCAAACAGTCAAAAATTGCCTTTGTGCAGTCAAAACCCTAAAAATGACCATTTTGCCCTTTTGGTGATCTGATCAAATTTCTTGGGGAATTGTGATTCAAACTTGATCAAATGGTTCATGTGAATTCATAATGTTGATGTGGATCAAATTTCATGAGGTTTGACTGTCAATTGGCCACAGTTGACTTTTTCCCCAATACAGCTGATTTCTAGGTCAACTGTCCAATTGACTGGGAAAAACTTGGAATCAAGACTTGAAACCTGGTATGGGTAAACTTGGGAGTCCAATATGAAGCATGAAAGTCATCTTAGGCATTTTAGGTCAAAACATCTTTAGGCAAACACAAACCCTAATTTGAGTCCACAGTGCAAGGAGAAGTCTTGAGCAGAGGAAACCCTAATTGGACCTTGATCTTTAAATGTCTTGTGATGAGAAAATGTTGAGGAAATGGGAGGGCAAATTTTGGGGTACAACAACATTCAAACAAGAATCATTACAAAGGTTGCCACAACGATGGCCTCTTTTCAAAACATCTTTCAAAACCACACACAAAGCACCATTTTAAACAATTGAAGAGCACCATTTCAAACAATTGAAAAGCAAAGCAAGTGATCTAAGCAAGTAACTAAGAGCCCATGGATAACCATGGATATAAAGGGTGCTAATATCTTCCCTTTCTATAATCTACTCCCCGAATCCAAGAAAACATCTCAAAGGTATTTCCTGTGCTTTTTGACCTTTCCTTAGGATAAAATAAAAATTCGGTGGCGACTCTTGCTAAACCGAAACATTTGCAAACACAAACGCAAAATCCCAAGTCAGTTCTCTCACCGTATCACAACACTCAATCACTTAATTTTTAAGCTTCCAAACAACCTCTTTATATAGATCACAAAATAGATTTGTTGGAGGGTGAAGTTAGAGTATCCATAAAAAAATAGTTGTTGGAGATGTTTGATAGTACCATAGGAGTGGTACAAACTTGATAATCCATATGCTTGACTTCTATATAAACACGCCTTCTTTGATTCTTCCTTTGGTTTAGAGTGTGTCTTTAGTTTAGAGTCTGTTTGCTTTAGATTTTGCCAATCTTCAGATTCTACCAATCTTCTGATTTTGCATAGATCGGACTTCAGATGACTTTGTTTAGAGTTTGGTTCATCCATACTTGACTTCTCTAGAGTCAGAATTTGATTTCTTTTGATTAATACACTTAACAACATAACTAGAGTACAAAATTATTCTCTATACAAATTAAGCTTTGTTATCATCAAAGCTCAATGACACTTGTAAAACCAAACTTGTTCTAACATCCTTAAGCATATGCTTTAAGGTATAAACTTAACTAACATCAATTAAGCAGACTTCCTCATTTGGCCTCTGAACCATGCATGGACCATCTCTTTGAAAAGGCTTATAAATTCAAAGATTCTTCAATCACCTCTGACCAGGCTAAAATCACATGGTGTAAAGATACCCCCTCCAAATCTATGTTCATTTGGAAGCTCGTGTTAGATAAACTTCTAGTTGATGATAACCTCAAATACAATGGGTGTCAAATCCCTTATAGGTGCATTCTTTGCAAGAACAATGTTGAAACCTTGAATCACTTATATTTGGACTGTTCTTTCTCAAAGAAAAATCTAGCACTAGTTCTACACTATTATCAACATAACTAATCCTCCCCGGATTTTAGAGGATTGGTGGAAGGTCTGTACAATCAACATGTCAAGACAATGTTCTCTTATTCTTAAAGCAACTATTACTTACATCTTGAGATATTTAGGCTAAGAATGTAAAGAGATCTAGAGGAAACTCTCCTAATGTCTTACATACAATAAGCAAGAGTAAATATCATATTATGTTGATTGACTTCAACTCATTAGCTACTGCTTCTTCTTTTGTTGATGATTTCAAAATCATCAAGACTTTTAAGTTGTGTATGAAGCCCCCTCGTGCTCCCCAGATTAGAGAGGTCTGGTGGTATCCCCCACTTCTGGATTGGCTAAAATGCAACTGTGGTGGTACTTATCTCCAAGACTCAAGACCATTTGGTTGTGGTGAGATTTTTAGAAATAACCTTGGAAATTTTGCGTAGCTTTTGTAAACAAGGTAGAGTGGCCCTCTTCGTACATTTGCAGAGTTTAATGTTGTTGTCCAAGCCAAGGAGATTGCAATAGAAAGAGGTTGGGGCAAGCTTTATATTGAAACCGATTCAACCAATGTCGTGCAAGCTTTCCATAATAAATCTTTGTTGCCTTGGCAATTAAGGTATCAATGGCTTAGTTGTTTAGATTTTTTTGTATATAAACAGTTTGTTCATTTGCATATCTATATCAAATGAAATTCTTGTGCTGATTTCATGGTCAATATCGGTCTCAATTGCAATTGCCTCGCCATTTTTGATTCTATTCCTAATGGTATTAAGAAAATTTTTATACAAAATAAGCTAAATAAACCTTATTTTTTATTTTCAATGGTTCTTTTTTTGCAAGGCAAAATACCCATTTTGGTCCCTTAACTATAGGTCATGGTTCATTTTGGTCCCTTAATTTTTTTTGATGCTAAATTGGTCCTTTAATTTTCAAAATGTAACCGTGTTAGTCTTTCCGTTAGTGAACCGTTACTCAAAGTAAAAAAACAGGTTCCAAGTGGCATTTGACTCGCTGAAGTGGCTAGCTGGAATCCAGATGGCAAGCGTAAGGAAATGCAATCTCAATCTTCTTCAATACCAAACGAAAGGATAACATTTCTCCACTCAAATCAAACAAAATTGTCATCAACATAGGTTTGCCCATAATTTTAATAACCCTTTCTTCCCAAATCCAACAAAATCATTCATCAAATCTTATCAGAAGAATGTCTCTTTCTTCCCAGAATTTTCATAACCCTTTCTTCTCAAAATTTTGGCTTCTAATCTCTCTAATCTCCACAAACCAAATTTCAAGCTCTATATGTAAATTCATCTTTTTTACTTCATATTCCATTCCAATCCACAACAACAACCTACGACCGACAATTCTGATAAATCAAGAATATCCAACAACAACACATTCGATTTAATGTAGTGCGACAAACTATACAAAATTGCCAACTAGGTCGGCTCTAATGTGGCTTCTGCTTTATTTGCTTCCTTGGAACGTTGTTCTTGCATCAACCTTAGCACCACCGACACTGAAGATGACAACATCAATGATAATGATCGTCCTCTCATGCTCACCAAACTTGTTTCTCATCTACCCTTTAAGGGTCCCACCATAACTCTTGCGTTAAATGCTGAGCTTCATTCTTGATCTCTTTGTATCCCTATCAATTCTCTTATGAGATTTGTAATTGTAATTGTTTATGTTCTTTGGGTGTTCAATTTTTGGTTTTTTCATGAAAAAAATTAGTCTTTTTTGTGTTTGTGTGTGTGGAATTTGTTGGATCTTGTTACCTTTTGTTTGATGTTAACGCAGCCGGTGATGAAAGTAATGATGGAAACAGTGAATAAATGCATATAAAGAAGATGAAGATAACATGTCAATTCACCTACTATGTAGATAAAATTACCGGACGTTTGAACCCAACTAACGGAAAGGACCTGTTTATTACGTTTTGAAAATTAAGAGACCAATTTAACACAAAAAATATTAAAAGACCAAATTGAACCAAAACTTATAGGTAATAGACCAAAATGAATATTTTAACTTTTTACAATATAAAATACTTTATAAAATTTATTTTTTCTCTTTTTATTTCATTTCCTTTCTTTATAAAACTCGTGCGAACGGATATTTAACGGACATAATAAAAAAAGTTTAAAGATAATAAAAAACAATATAAAATTTTTATATGTCACATCAGTTTTTTAAAAATAAAAATGAAATTTAATTGGATAACATGAGTGTTTTTGTCATAAGAAAAAAAAAAGGAAAAGAAAATCCAAACACCTTTGATTTCGTTTTTTCAAGTGAGCATTATTCAAAAGAAAGCATTCATTTCTTTTCAAAGCAGTAGCAGTAGCTACTCGTGTGGTTCTTCACTCTTTATCACACTTTCTCTCAAATTCCTAGGGTTTTGAATTTCACAATGACTTCCCCTGCAAAGTTCGACGACGTAATTCCCAACTCTCCCATCCTTTTTCTTTCTCATTCGTAATTTACTTTATCATCTTTCTTTTTTTCAACAGCAGGAATTTGATTTTGGAGGCGGATTTAGCGGCACTCGCCCAGGTTTTTTCTCTTCTCATGTTAATGCTATTTATTCAATTTTTCTGATTGTTTCACCCACTCTTATGATGAATTAGATACTATCGGTAATAAGAGGCCATCTCCTGATTACGAGGATGGAGATTTTGATAATGATCCTTTGGGAAAGAAGGTAAAATTTTCTTTTTCCAATTTTCAGTTTTCCTTTTCTTGAAAAACCTAAATTGCAATTTGTTGTGTTCCTCCGTCTTTCAGTCGAAATCAAAAGCCGAAGAAGAAGCTGCTTCTGGAGTCACAACTGGAATGATTTTGTCGCTTCGCGAGAGGTATGTAGTTTAAATGACGCGGAATACGAATATTTTGCTCTTGCAATGAACTTTTTGTGCCTGAAAATTTTCCTGGCTTTTTTTGCAGTCTTCAGAATTGTAAAGACACACTTGACTCGTGCATGGTATGTTTTTTCTTTAGCAATGTCCGTTGTTTGTTCAAAGAATTTGAAGTTTTGTTATTGACGGAAATGGACTGTAGTTATTGAGTCTCGAAAAAGGTTACATGTATAATAGTTTAAGTGGAGGCAGATCTAATAACTGGAAAGTTAACTTGAAAATAGACTTAGGTGGTTTAGGCATGTAGAGAGAAGATCGGTAGATTCTTTAGTGAGGAGAGTAAACCAGATAGAAAAATGACAACCAATTCGAGAAAGAGGAAGACCTAGAAAGACTATAAGAGATCTTATTAAGAAAGATCTCGAGATTAATGGTTTGGATAGAAGCATTGTCCTTGATAGAACATTATGGCGAAAGTTGAAGTTGATCTATGTAGCTAACTCCACCTAGTGGGACAAGGCTTAGTTGTTGTTGTTGTTGTTTTTGTTTACTTGCATCTAATCTAATTTTCTAATAAAATAAGTCTTTTGAATGTCTGTGATTGCTTGCGGTTGATTTTTGATTGCAGAAAGTCACAAACCTAGTATAGGTTGAGTCATACTATTCCTTTTCTAAAATTGTTCACCTCATTATTGCATATTCTAGAGTGAACTCGAGGCTGCACAATCCGAGATTCAAAAATGGCGCTCTTCATTTCAAAATGAACTATTCATACCTGCTGGGACCACACCGGGTTAGTTTGTACGCAAATTATTTGCTAGGAGTATATCATAGATGTACTTATTATTGAAGATCTAGTTCTATTTAATGTTGTTTTGTGTTTTAACTGTTAAATATATACCACCTGAACAATTATTTTCTATTGATGGTTTTTAGTACCCAAATTGGTGATTAATTATCTCCAAGCACTGAAAGCATCGGAAGAGTCCTTAGGCGATCAGGTTCAGCCTTTAGAATCTAAAATTCTATTTTTTGCTTCAAAATTTTTCCTTATATGTTGGTCATACTTATTGATCCTTTCAACATTTTCATTGGTTATCAGCTTGAAAAGGCAAAGAAAAAGGAGGCCGCATTCATTGTGACATATGCTAAACGTGAGCAAGAGATAGCAGAGCTTAAGGTAGGTTATATTCTAAAATCAGGTTCTTGTTCTTTATAGCATCTGGATGTGTTGTTTTATTTATTTTGCATCTACTTAGAATGCTAAACTAAACCCCTTTTCCCCTGGGGAGAACATATAGTTAACAGAATAAGAAGAATTTGTAATGTATGAAGTTCAGAGTCAGGGAAATTTTGAAACTTATTCATTCTGGCCTAACATTTTAACTTTTCCATATGATGTCGAGTCTTATCATGATCAGAGTGTTCAAAGCAAGCTACTTTGATTTTACAAATGTCGGTTGTTTTGTATTTTGAAAATATATTATCATTATCATTACTATTTGAATTTTATTTTGTTTATTATAATTATTTTACACATGTTTGTGGTTTATTTCGAAGTATGTTAAAATCATTTATTATTTGAATTTTATTATTATATTTACCGGTCATTCCAAACTTTTCCAGTCTGCTGTACGGGACCTCAAAGCTCAACTCAAACCAGCATCAATGCAGGTATTGTTTATCATATACGTGTTAGAATATGTCTCTTGATAAATTTGTTTATTGACGATTCTTCATTCTTATTCAAGCATATTAATTTGAGAAAGTCAAATAGTTTTCCAACTTTGTTGAGCCACTTAGATATTGTTTATGACTTGGTCATTATTTGTATTTGTTTGTTCAGCATTTATGTTTGTCATTTAATAGGAGGAGTGATTGCACAGTTTTTTATAATCCAATTCATTTATTTAAATGTGAGGTAACATCAGGAAAGTTGTTCTTCCTTCATGGAAATGGAGACACCGTCTCTCATGAAATCCACCGCTAGTTGAGCTTTATAATGTTCTGTAGTAAATATAAAATGCCTATAACTGGACTTTGGATAGATCCTTCTGGCATATTATTTCTTTATTGGCTGAATCCTATAACTGTCACAAAGGAGGAATAATGTACTAACAATGGACTTGATAAAGGTGGACTACTTGACCTATTATACTTTTATAACTTAATTGTCTATGCTGTTTTTGTGACTCTAGCCAATTCCACCTAGAGGGAAAAGACATTGGTAGTGGTTGTTGTTGTTGTTGCGTGACTGCGGCTTCCTTGCTTACATGTGTATTAGCTGAACTTTAAAACTTCCAAATCAATTTTGGTGTATGTTGTAGCATTTGCTTTTATTCCCTTTTGAGCTCTCCCCAAAATATTATTACCTATTTTTGGTTGCTATTTAAATTGTAGGCAAGGAGGTTCTTACTAGATCCAGCAGTTCATGAAGAGTTCATGCGGTTAAAGGTCAGTTACTCTTACTCATTTTTGTTCTGACTTTAAAATCAAGTTTGGTTTCTTTGATAAATGAAAGTAGGGAAAATGCCTTAACCCAGGTTGTATTAGGAAAATGTTGGTCCAAGTTGTCAACTTAGATTTATCAACTCAGATATAGTTAGTGAGGAAACAGTACTGTTATCCTTTAATGTTATAGACCGAATGTGATAGTAGTTCTGTCACTTGTTCACTTGACTACTTGCCTATTACAAAAGGAAAATGGAATCATCTTTTGTGAGAAAAAATAGAGAGAAGTCCAAGAGGGTAGGCGTTCTCTCTAGTTTGATTATCAGATTTAAATGCAACCAATACAGATGAAGGCGATAACTTCTAGGGTGTAAGGTGGTGTTAAATGTAGTTCAGGTTTTCAGCTGACCACTATTCTTAGCTCTGATTTCAGCGATGGATTTGAACGAAACTTGGTAACGATTCTAAATTGTCTTTACCTTTTAGATATGCCCAATATTGACGCCTTCATAGCCCAGATTTATTGTCTGCATTACTTTTTCTTGTGGCATGGTATTTTATTCCCTAACGGGTATTTTTTTTGCAATTTTACTTCATGTGCCCCAATTTCCTACATATATTAGGAATTTGTTTTATTAGTTTGTTGGCACGTTATTCACATCGTTGTTTATTCCAACTCTTTCTTACAAGATTTCTTATCTCAACATAGAATTTAGTTGCGGAAAAGGACAAAAGAGTAAAAGAGTTGCAAGATAACATTGCTGCTGTAAACTTTACTTCCCAAAGCAAGATGGGGAGGTTGCTAATGGCTAAATGTAGAACTCTGCAGGAGGAAAATGAAGAGATTGGGCATCAAGCTTCTGAGGGCAAGGTGGTTCATACGTTGAAATGATGTAAAGAAGTTTATCACATTTATTGATTGGAAGTAACATTACGCATATCAACTATTAATAGATCTACACAGATTAATCTACCTAATTTATTTGTCAGTATTATTCGTTACTGAATTGATGCTGATATGATATCACTTTTTTTCTGTTTATCTTTTCTTGGTCTGCAGATGCATGAATTAGCAATGAAACTTTCATTGCAGAAAGATCAGAATTCCGAGCTCAGAAATCAATTTGAAGGTTAGTTGTTGATTGATTTCACCTCATTATGGTTTGACAATTTTTATCCTTTGACCCTTTCATGTGCTACTCAGTGACTATTTCTTTCCTAAGTTGCCATTTTGGATTCATCAAAGAAGTGGATTTGTAATTCCATATTATTCATTTGAAATGTACTAACATACATTGGCAGAAATATTGCAAAAATGCTTGCCACCCATTGAGAAAATTCTTTTCGGTCCCTCTAACAGGGGTTCGGTCCCTCTAACATTCTTACAGTAATGTCATGTGGACGTTTTATTTTTATTTTTGGATTATTTTTATTTCTCCATGTATTAGCAATTTCTGTAATTTTAACACTTAGAATTTGCTGCAGGGTTGCAGAAGCATATGGATGGATTGACCAATGACGTGGAAAGATCCAATGAAATGGTTTTCATTTATCCCTACTTTCATATTTTACTGTGATTTAAAAATTTCACTGCATGTCTGCATCACCATTATGCTTTACTCTTTTCTCACTAAACAATGTTTATGAGAAATAGAGATAAGTATTTTTGTACTTCGTACGAACCTTAACAAAACTTTTGTCTTGGTAAAAGGCTGATACTATTCTAACTGTTCACTAATGCTAATATGGGATAGGTAAATGCTTGTGTTGATAAAGAGTGATAAGGTGATTAGGGGGAGGAGTATAGTGATAAGTAGGTCATGCAGTCAACTCCCCCCACTAACAAAGTAACAACAACCAATAAAATAACAACCAACAACTAACATTTACTAGTAAAACAAAAGCTTGTGTAGGATTAGTGGAAATTCTTCAATATCTACTAATACCTTCTAATGTGTGAAATGGTAAATTCTTTAAAAAAAAAGCTTGTGTAGGATTAGTGAAAATTCTTTTAAAAAAAAGCTCGTGTAGGGCCCTAATTTTTTAAAATGGTAAATTTGATTAATATATAAATTTTAATTGTAGATGTGAGTTTTAAATAAATTTTTCTAAATTGTTCAAAATATGTAACTATCAATTTCTCAAAAATATATATACTTTTCTTGAATTCTTGAACTCTAAAGGATGGTAGCTTTATGTGCTTAATATATGGGGAAAAAGAACTAAAGATTTATATGGAATTTATGATCTTCCATTTGATGTTTTGCAAAGGAAACATTTGCAGTGCTAGATCTGTTGAATGGTACCCTAGTAAAATTAAGAAAAAGTTTCCCAAGGTAATGTTTTTTGGTGAATATTACTCTAGCATATTGACTGACACTTTTTGAACCACTGCTACCCTTAAGTGTCATTAATAATGTTTGGCATTTTTGATGGCGTTAGGCATGCTTGTATTGTGTAAATGTGGTTTGTACATTTTGAATGTTTTTAGCAAGTTAGGGTGCAACATTGAAAAGGATGTTTGCATATGCTTGTAACTCAGCGACCTGCATTTTGTAGGATTAATATATTGTTGCTTTTGTGATGTGAAATTGGCTTAGTTGCTGGGTGTGGAGGAGTTAAGGAATAGAGTGATGATCCCCACTCCCAGAGTATAATATTAGTAGTATTAACATTTATGATTTCAAAAGAAGTATTGTTACTTTTAAGGTTGTTCTAGTTGTACCTCTTTTTAGATGTTTTTCAATTTTTCTCCTATTTAGACTCCCTCTCTGTTCCTGTATACCCCCAGGCCTTATCTTTCACGGGTCTACTTATCAGTTTACTGTCTTTTCTCTTTGTTAATGGAGGTGTACATTTGAGAAAATAAGGGTATACTTGATAAAATGAAGTTGAAGTAACCTTGAAGTTTGAAAACAACATAGAAATATGAATAAAGTTTTTCATCATAAAAAAACGTCAATTAGACAGGAACATAAGGAGTACTAGTAGCATTCTCCTCTCCTTCCACCTCTATGGTGGCCACATCGAGAGCACTTTCCTCTCCATCCATCTTCCTTCTCATGTCCTCACCATAACTAAGCTTCTCAACGGAATCTCCCTCTCTCCACCACTACCAACCGTCAAATTTCCTTTTCTTCTTTTGTGTCCGCCTCCGGAGCCACCATCACGAAGAAATGACAAGTTAGTTGTGGGTTTTCTGCACATCTCAAACGTGACAATGGTGGATGTATCTCTCTCTCCGGTAGCTGCTCCTACAACTCCGTTGCCCGGAATTTTTCGTCCACCACCGAAGCCACCATGGTTATACAGTATGAAAATTCTAACAGAGATGTTTAATTTCGGTTTCTTAATTTCTGTTGTGTTTTTGTGTTTTAGTGGTAAAAGATGCACTCTTGGTGTTTGACAAAATGCCTCATGTCTTGTAGTATGGTTATGTGTGTCTATTGGCATTTTATAGTGATTGAGGAAGTTTATGAGTTCAACATCCATTCCATAACTATCTCTAGTCATCTATTAATTTGTGAACATTCGAAAAGGTTGGACACTTTTTAGATCAAAGAAAGTCGAAATGTGCAAACAAAAGTCAAAGAAATCATCCTTAATTAGATTTGGAAAAAGACCATGGGTTCTCACTCCCACATTGTCATTGTTGGTGTTTGCAAGAGAGTGGATTGCTGGCGGATATGTTGTTGCTTTTGGATTGGTTGTGCCTTAGCTTTTGAAAAATCTCTGTATAATGTTTTTATGACTTTGTAGTATTTAATTATTCCAACTAGACTATGTTTTGGAACTATCGGATTCTTGTTTATTTGTGCAAGGATGCATCATGCGTACCTTACTCCATTGGGGTTTCCTGCAGGTTTTCATGTTGAAAAATAAATTAGATGAGAAGGATCAGGAGATCCAAAGACTGAAAGATGAGTTGCAACAAAAAAGCTCTGCAAAGAATGAGAGAACAGATGATGTATCTAATGCCAGAGATTGATGAGATGATACTACTATAGAAGATGTTAGCTGATATCACTGGACTACCAAAATTGTTGGAAACATTGTTTCGGAGGTTTTACCGATTGTTCATAGCTGTATATTGTATTCAAACTGTCTGTTAGGAATTTTCTTTGCAATGTAACTGTGAACGAGGTATGCATTTTCATTGATTGGTGGGTCATATTGGAATTATAAGTTTACAACCCTTGTATTAACCATCCATATATATACACACCTCCACTTTCTGAATCACGAGCACGCTGTTCAGCTGATCAGCCTAATTTGATTGGGGGATATTTTTGCTGGATTTGATTAAATGATGCGAGAGAGAGGGAGAGAGAAAGCTGGAATGTGTTTGATTAAGACATCATTTGATTTATTTTCATTCAAATATATAATCTGAGTTATTAAATAATATCAGTCTCGACTCAAGCTCAAGCTCTGCCTTCGGCTACTGTCAAAAAAAAAAAAGAAAAAGATCTGCCTTCTGCTGTATTTATCGGTCTAAAGCACAAATGAATTCAAAACAAACCTGTGTAACACTTGTCTGCTGTTACCATTATCTTTTACTCGATTTAAGACCTATTCAAACTTTCCCGAACTCTTCACTTTTTGGTTACCCTTACCTAATTAAATTTCCTTTAACTTTAATGCTGCCCTTTGGTGTGTATATATATATATATATATATATATATATATATATATATATATATATATATATATATATATATATATATATATATATATATATATATATATATATATATATATATATATATATATATATATATATATATATATATATATATATATATATATATATATATATATATGTATGAAATGCAAAATGTTGTAATACATTCAATAATTCTTGTGGAGTATGTTATTATCGGATTTTGAAATATTTTCCACCGAAGAAATTATCATGTTGAGTCGCGGACTAGATCGCTCTCTTTAAGACGTTTCGCGGCACAGCTAAAATTTATGCAAAGCAGTCGAATTACCGCGCCGCCTCCAGGATAAAACATCACAGTTCTATTCTATACGATTACTACTTGCATGGTAGATATAGTAATACACCATCTGATGGTACAAGATCATTCAAATATGGTATCAACATCATTCGTAGTATCTGGTATAAAGATCAGTCATAATAATTTCTCAAACAAAAAGAAATTCAAATAATTCTCCAAAGAGAAATTAATAATGGTCATTTGACCGCTCATAATAATTTCTCCAACAAAGAAATTTAAATAATTCTCCAAAGAGAATCCAAAAAATTAAACTTGAAAATTTCTCAACTCAAATGAAGAGAAATTAACATAATTCTCTAAAGAGAATTCAAGAAAATACTCGGAAAATTCAACGAGTAGGAAGAAAGGGGAAGAAGATGGCGCTTCGATAATTCGAGAGATGCAAAGTTATGATAGTGAGGAAGAAAAAACTAATAGAATAGTTTTTGGTGTGATTTGGAATGAAACACGTGCGCTCTTTATATAGTGAAGTAAGGTAGTTAATATTTTTCACATGAGCAATGTGGGACTAAATGGTTTTTTTTCAACCAAAAAGATATTCTAACAATGTGGGACTTGAGAAATTTTTAAATTCAACATATTGGAACATGGACATGTTCCAACAATCCCATACTTGAATTTAAAAAATTGATTTTATAAGTAACGTCAAACGTTTCTAAGATTGTGCATAAACAAAGGCGTCTACGACTTGAACCTTTGCATAGCAAGTAGGATTCCAATTCAACAAGAGTGACACAAATGTCTTGAACTCTATCTCAGACATCAAATCCGCACACAACTTTTCTTAAGGTGTATTCTAATAGCCCGTGCTTTAATGGCTTTGCACGTGTATCCCAGTTTAATGAAGGCTCTAGGAATTCTGCCTCGAAATTCTATAGGAACCGACCTAAATTCCACAATCACATATGTGAGTCTATCAAGAGTACTCCAGTAGCCTAGGTACTCCCTCATACAAAGTATAGATCTCATTAAGAGTTTCTATTATCTCATCCTCTTATTACTTCAGGATTCTTGCTTTACTTGCATGATCATCTCATATTACTCACAACTTATTGTTACCCATTGAACACATTTCTTGGGATCTCCAATCATTTAGGTCGGGTTACCATCATGAGCAACTCATTTTCCTATAGGCATTAGTCCCATCTTATATGATGTATTATAGACTTTCTGTCTAGCTAATCCTTTCATCAAAGGATCTGCTAAATTTTCATCAGTGCATACATGATCCACTCTCACAGCTCTTTTAGAGATACAATCTCTAACAATGATGTGCTTTCTTCTAACTTGACGTCTTTTACCATTATAATAACGATTCTCGATTTTTGCAATAGCCGTAGTACTATTGCAGTGGGTCAACACAACTGACATATGTTTTTCCCATAAGAGAATCTCAGTTAGCAAGCATCTTAACCAAATTGCTTCTTCACTAGCAGTCGCTAATGCTATATTCTCAGGATAGTATGTTTCTTTGATTTCCAAGATACAACTCCTCTAGCTATGTTGAATACATAGCCATTAGTTGCTTTGGAATCATCTAATAAGGTATTCCAATCGGCATCATTATATCCTTCAAGTACAACAAGAACTCTCTGATAATATAAATCGAGATTCATGGTCCTTTTAAGGTACCGTATGACCCGCTCAATAGCTTGTTAATATTCATTACTCGGTCTACTAGTAAACCTGCACAACAATCCCACGACATATATAATGTCAGATTTAGTAAAATCAATGGAATACCTAAGACTTCCAATGATGCTCACATATTCTGTTTGTCTAACACTTTCACAACTGTTTTTAAACAGCTTCACGCTTGGATCATTTGGTGTGCTCACACGTTTACTGTCAAAATAATTATATTTCTTTAAGATCTTTTTCACATATTGTGATTGATCCAAAGAAATTCGTTGCTCGGATCTCGTGATCTTGATATCAAGAATCACACTCTCTTCTCCGAGGTCTTTCTTATCAAAGTTGCACAACAATGATTTCATATCATTAATGGCTTGAATGTTTGATCCAAATATGAGTAGATCGTCTATATATAGACATATGATAGTGCAAATGCAATTCTCAAATTTTAATAAACATATTTGTCACTTTCATTCACTTTGTACCCATTCGATATCATTAAACTATCAAACTTTATATGTCATTGTTTTGGAGCTTATTTTAGCCCATACAAAGACTTGTCTAACTTACAGACCTTAATTTCTTGTCCATGGATCACAAACTCTTCAGGTTGTTCCATATATATTTCTTATAAGTCACCGTTTAAAAAAGTTGTTTTAACATCCATTTGATGTACTATTGAGTTATAAATACCAGCTATTGAAATAAGTATCCTAATGGATGTAATTCTAGTGACAGGAGAAAAGGTGTCGAAGAAATCTATTTTTTTTCTTTGTCTAAAACCCTTGGCAACAAGGCGAGCCTTGTATTTATCAATAGCTCCATTAGGTTTTAGTTTCTTTTTCAAAACCCATTTACAACCGATTGGTTTGCAACCAGGAGGCAAGTCTACTAAGTTCCAGGTCTTGTTAGATTCTAGAGATTCTATCTCATCATTGATAGCTTCTTGCCATAAATCAGCATCCAGAGATGACAAGGCTTCTTGAAGACTCACTGGATCTTCTTCTACATTATAAGTCGCATAATCAGGCCCATAGTCTTTAGCAACTCTTACTCGTTTACTTCGTCAAAGTTCTGTTTCTACATTGTCATTATTTTATGTGCTTCTTATCAAAGGAATGTGACTCGATTGTGTGCCCCCACTATTTCTCAATTTGAAAGGAAATTTGTCTTCATAGAATTCAACATTATTTGATTCTATGATCACTTTTTCCTTTAGGTCATAAAGCCTATATGCTTTACTGTTTGCTGCATACCCAATGAAAACACATTCATATGCTCTACTAGCGAGTTTAACTCGTTTCGAATATGAAATTCTGACATAAGCCAGACAATCCCAAGTTCTCAAATAAGACAAGTTTGGTTATCTTTTCTTTAATATCTCATAAGGAGAGATCTTACATTTTGACTTGGGGACTCTATTCAGGACATATCAAACAGTCAATAAAATTTCTCCCCACCAGTGAGGTGCAACACTAAAATTCAATATAATTGCAACAAGTTCAGTAAGAGTTCTATTCTTTCTTTCTGCTTTACCATTCATTGCAAGATAGTATGGTGCAGTCGTTTCATGTACAATTTCATGTATAAAATTCATTAATAAACTAGAATCATACAATTTCTCTATCACTACAAATTCTTATTATATCATTTTTAAATTCTTTACAAAAATTTTAAACATATAAACTTCATTCTTCGTAATGGCGTACAAATCTACCCCAATAGAATGACTAAACCCTGTCTTATTTAAAAGAAAACCAGAAACAATATTCTTTCTAATCTTAGGAACATGCATAACGTTCTTTAATATTAAAGTCTTTTTGAAGGTGAAATTTAGCTCAATGTCTACAATTCCAGCAACATTCGTGGTCTGGCCATCTCCCAACAACACTTTCTTATCTTTAGTATTCGTGTGTGTTTTAAATATAACACGATCATAACATACACAATGAGAGACACATGTGTCTATCCACCAACCAACATATCCATCAACCATGTTGATTTCAATGACTATAGCAATAAATTTTCCATTAGTCAGGTTGACCTATGCATTAGAGACAACACCAAGTTCAAGCTTACTTCTACATTTCTTAGTCATATGACTTGATTTTCCATAGTTAAAACAAAGGGAAACCAACGTCATTTCTTTTAGGTGGTAGTTGTTGCCTAGTTGGAGCTATTGGGATCATAGAAGAGTTCCCATTCTTAATTCGGTTCATAATATTGCGGTTCTGATTCTTTAATCATTTTCCAAATGGCTTCAGAACTACACCAAATTTCTTTTTGTAGTTTAAAACAACCAAGACTTTTTATTTTTGATATTGTCTCT